GTCCTGGTGACATCCCCCCCCTATAGGAGGCCTACCTGCTGGCCGCCATCTTTGATGAGGTTGACAGGTTGTTGGTCGTACTCGATGCCTTTCAGGGCCAGAGCTGTAAAGACGCAGACTGTCAGTGGGAGGAGTGTACGGGGCCCGGACGGGTCCCTGGGGGCAGGCAGGACTAATACAGCCAAGACTGATTGGAGTCCTCCCCACCAGACACACACACATGGTACAATCTGTAGGTCAGGTGATACCTCTATATAATGCCCCTCCCCCCGATATGATTGGATGATCCAAGCTCTGTATAATGCCCCTCCCCCTGATATGATTGGATGATCCTAGCTCTGTATAATGCCCCTCCCCCTGATATGATTGGATGATCCTAGCTCTGTATAATGCCCCTCCCCCTGATATGATTGGATGATCCTAGCTCTGTATAATGCCCCTCCCCCCGATATGATTGGATGATCCCAGCTCTGTATAATTGGATGATCCCAGCTCTGTAATCTCTGATAAGAGGACCTGTCATGACGCAGGTACCTGGCTGAGCTGAGGCTCCCGTCATTGGCTGACATGTGGGGGCGGATCTGCATATGTTCCCCCGAAATCACTTCCAGCATTGCAGCCATGACGGGGCCCCGCGGAGCCTCACCTGGGCCGTGTCGGCAGGTCCTCCTAGCGGTGTGACACGGCTCTGTACATGTGTGACCTCCATGACACACGGAACTCACCAATACGAACTCTCCATGTGCAGGAGCTGCGGAAATATCCGAAGAGAAGAGGCTGCAGAGAGGAGAGAGCAGAGTGAGCCATGTGACCCCGGACAGCGCTGAGCGTGGCCCCTGCACACAGGCCGGCACTCCTCATACAGCTCTGATCGCAGCCTCTGCACACAGGCCAACACCTCCCTTTCCTATACAGCTCCGATCGCAGCCTCTGCACACAGGCCGGCACTCACCTTCTCTGCAGACGCCATGCTGTCAGAAGGAGACTCTGAGCTGTGACCAATCAGCAGAGTCCTCAGATCCGCCCTCCATGTGGCTTTGATCAAAGTACAGACCCCCCTCCCCCCCTCGGACATCCTCCATCTAGGAACTATGTGCAGAGATCACAGCGACCAATCAGATCCTTGTGTCATGCAGGGGGGCTGAGTAGTTGCTATTGGCAACAGACACAATCATAGGCACAGCAACCAATCCGATTTCATCTTCAATAGATCTGGTCTCGGTAGGCGTGGCCTTGTTGCTATGGGTTACACTGACGGAGATCAATGAGCAGGAAGTGACCACCTCAGCGGGGCCAATATCACCGAAGCAGAATCTGTCTTTGTGTCGCCCATAGCAACCGGTCTATACCTCCCTTCCATGGTACCATCCGCCCATAGCAACCAGTCTATACCTCCCTTCCATGGTACCATCCGCACATAGCAACCAGTCTATACCACCCTTCCATGGTACCATCTGCCCATAGCAACCAGTCTATACCTCCCTTCCATGGTACCATCCGCCCATAGCAACCGGTCTATACCTCCCTTCCATGGTACCATCCGCCCATAGCAACCGGTCTATACCTCCCTTCCATGGTACCATCTGCCCATAGCAACCAGTCTATACCTCCCTTCCATGGTACCATCCGCCCATAGCAACCAGTCTATACCTCCCTTCCATGGTACCATCCGCCCATAGCAACCAGTCTATACCTCCCTTCCATGGTACCATCCGCCCATAGCAACCGGTCTATACCTCCCTTCCATGGTACCATCCGCCCATAGCAACCGGTCTATACCTCCCTTCCATGGTACCATCTGCCCATAGCAACCGGTCCATACCACCCTTTCATGGTACCATCTGCCCATAGCAACCGGTTTATACCTCCCATCTGTGGTACCATCTGCCTATAGCGACAAACTTGCACCCACTGTCTGTGGTAGCATCCATGTCTCTGCTGGCAGGGGGTGTCTTTTCCTGGAAATGTCACCAGGATGTGAGGATCCTCTAGGTGGCGAATACAAGGTGGGCCCTACGTTGTTCTCCTGGCTGTCAGACCAACTAACCTGCTGAGCGAGTGGAAGGGTTACCTTTAAATACTAAATATATATATATATATTGTTTTTCCGCCATTACTTGTCCTTTATATTTGTGACAAGGAAGGTTCACTGTAATATAAAGGAAACGTGTATGACAGAGAGCCCCACATAGAGGAAGCATTTTCCTTCCACCATAAGGTTGCTAAGGGTTACGGCTCTCAGCACGCCACGTGACCACCTCTTACCCAACGCGCCAATCGGCGCTCAGCACATACCTTCCCCAGTGCCGCCGCCATCGTGCTGCGCTCATGGAGGGGCGGGGCCAGGCTTCATTGGAGTGGCGGGGGTTGGGCGGGGGGGAGTCGGCCCTAA